TTTTTTAATAAATATAAAATTTATAATATTCTATCATATTTAATTATATAACGACGTTATTATATTATCTAGAGTAACTTATTTTGATTTGAATTTACTTCAATTATAATATCTCTCATAATATTTTTAAAGAGTGAAAAATTAAATTAATTTTTGATATCACTTATCACTATTTATTAATCTGAAAAATCTTTATTCATAAGTACAATATCTATCTCCTGTGTTAATAACTTGTGGTTCCTGACATTAGCAGTTACCAGACCCCGAGATAATTACTAAAAAATTTACTCCTCATGCATGAACGTCAGGGTCCAAAAATCCAAATCAGCCTTCTAGATTCGCAGAGAGTGAAAAGAACCAAGCTCATTCTAAACGCGGCAATACATAAATGGTAAAGAAAAGGGCGAGGAAGCTTGCCCGAGTCCGCTGTCCAGAAAGAGAAGAGTTCTTAATGCTATATATAATATAATATTATATTTCTTTTCCGATATTTTTGGCTTGTTGGCTGAGGTAGATTGGGGCCAGCGACAATTCATTGTTACGTCTTTCCTAATTATATAACTTCTGATGATGATGATGTCGATATCTCTACCGGTCCACCACTGCACCTAACCTCTTTGCTCTGGAAGGAGAAGGCTAAAAAGGACAGAGACATGGGGCGACAGAACATGGAAGCTCCGCTTTTGGACAGTGATCATGTGCATTTGTTGGTGGCAAATGAGAAGAAGGGAAACAAGAATTGGAACAGAGCTCTTCGCTTCTTCTTCGTTTTGTTAACCTTCTCAAGTCAGACTTTTACTCTCGTTTTTTGTTGTCGTTTTCTGTTTTCTGGTATCTTGATTGCCTTTTTATTTCCTCAGCTGTTTTTCGCTGGGTTTCTACCTTGAAAGGCTGTTCCCCTGGTTTTGTCTATTTATGTAAAAGTCAATGATTCTCTGTTCTCTGCCATAAGAATTTAGAAACCAAAAATTTACTACTATAAAGGACCCATTTTGTGCTTGATTGCCCCTTGCTAGAAGTTAAATGCGCTTAGAATGAAGACTCTGCTGCAATTTGACTCGGTTCTGTTTAGATAAGAGGGTGATAATAGTGAAGCAGAATTTTGTTCTTGGGTTCATTAGTTTTCAAAAATATGCGAATTTTGTTTACAGTCTCCAGGTTTACGTCTGAATTTCTGCCTTTCTCTCTCAGATCAAGTTTCATAAACATTTCTAAAATCTACCACCATGTGAGAACTGTAAAAGTTCTAAGTTCTGAGTGGGGGATTATTTCGGGTTTTAAATGGCAAGAAGCCTTGATATTTACATATAGAAGGAGTGCCAGATCATTTTCTCATTATTCTGCCGATGTTTACAAAAACAATCCCAAGTTTCTTTATTGGTCCTTTATTTTTGACCGTAAAATTGGAGGAACATGTTTGCTGGTCATGTTCCAGCTCACATTGAATGGTTGAATTAGGTTCTGCTAAGATATGTTTCCGTTCAATAAAATTTACAGTAATCATTTTGTTATGGTCGAAAACTTTATTACAGCCTTGTGAACCTGGACGCTATAGTGATTTGATACCATCGATTTTTTTTTTTTTTAACCTTGCACATTTGTGAGAAGAAGTTACCATTTAGCAAAGGTCCTGACTTCTTGCTTGTTAAGAAGTTATTCCCCTTTCACTAAATCCTTTAATGAAATTCCTTTTAATGAAGATTGATACTTCTTGTTGCATTTGCATATAGTTTATAATTATGCGAGTGTACTTTATTTGATGCTGGGCATATGGTTTTATGTTTCAGTTGTAGGCCTAATATTCAGAGACAACTGGAGTTACTTGGTAGTCAAAGGAGGATACAAGTACGATGAAAGGATTCAAGTCCGTGGCCCTGACTGTGTCGAGTCAGAACAAGGTGTTGTTGCTGCCGATGATGGTCGTTGTTCTGAAATTGGTGTACTCATGCTTAAGAAAGGCGGGCATGCAGTGGATGCTGCAGTGGCAACAGCACTGTGCGTCGGAGTTGTTAATCCAATGTCAAGTGGAATTGGAGGTGGAGCATTCATGATTGTCAGGTCTTCATCAACTTCACAAACCCAAGCTTTTGATTCGAGAGAAACTGCTCCCTTAGCCGCTTCACAGGTACAGAATTCTCTCTTTAAACAATATTTCAAGACAAGTTGATGTGTTATGGTATTATTGGTTTAATCTTTCATAAGTAATTAAGTATTGCTTCACAAATACGGTAATGATCAAGTAGTTATTGTTTGAGTCAGTTGGCCATTGAATGTTGGGAATAACATAAGCTTAGACACACAAAAGCATAATGAAACTAGTTTTTGCCATCATTCTGCCTCTCAAGACTGTAATTGTTAACATGCAGGATATGTATATGAATGATATCAAAGCCAAGTATAGAGGTGCATTATCAATGGGAGTTCCTGGTGAGATTGCTGGCCTTCATGAAGCTTGGTTGAGATATGGACGATTAACTTGGAGGACATTATTTGAGCCTGCAATAAAACTTGCTAAAGAGGGATTTGTGGTTGCTCCGTATCTCGGATTAAGCATTGCTAGCAATGGGAGGATGATCATGAATGACCCTGGCTTAAGGCAGGTGTTTGCACCAAAGGGGAAGTTGTTACAAGCAGGTGAAAAGTGCTATAATGTGGAGCTAGCGCAAAGCCTTGAGGTAGTGGCAGAACAAGGACCAGATGCTCTTTATAATGGAACCATTGGAGAGAAATTGGTAGAAGATGTGAAACAGGGTGGTGGGATTTTGACAATGGAAGATTTACGGAATTACAAGGTAGAAGTTACAGATGCAATGGTTGCAAATGTAATGGACTACACTATATATGGAATGCCACCTCCTTCAAGTGGAACACTTGGGCTGTCTCTGGTGCGTAATATACTTTCTTCTTAGTTATCTGATACATCATAGGGCTGAACGCCTTAGAGCTTGTGTCTGGCTATTCTGTGTTTTAGAATAATGGATGTTTACTTTTATTGAATTCAAATTCCATGCTTTGGATCACAGTAGCATTAGGACTGGGTCTTCTAAACATGATGATATGAAACAGGTTATGAACATCCTTGGGAGCTATGGAAGTGCTGATGCTGCAAAGGGGGATCTTGGCCTGCATCGCCTGATTGAAGCATTGAAACACATGTTTGCTGAACGAATGAACTTGGGTGATCCTGATTTTGTGGACATAACCAAATATACATCTGAAATGCTCTCCATTTCTTATGCAAAGCAAATTCAGCAAAAGATACTTGACAACACTACTTTCCCAGCAGACTACTATCTGTACAGGTATAAAATTATACACTTAATGACGCAAACAGAACTTAGATTCTTTTCATGAAGTGATGATTCTGAGCTTTCTAATCTTTCGTTACCAGATGGAGTCAACTTAGAGACCATGGAACTAGCCATTTTTGTGTTGTAGATGCGGACCGCAATGCTGTATCAATGACAACCACTGTAAATTATCCTTTTGGAGCTGGGGTGCTCTCTCCTTCCACTGGTATCGTGGTTAACAATGAGATGGGTGATTTCTCAGCACCAACAGAGATTTCTCCTGACATGCTCCCTCCTGCTCCAGCAAATTTTATTCGCCCAAAAAAGAGGCCTCTATCTTCCATGACACCACTTATTATTACCAAGGTTTAGAAAATTCGATGCAGCGCTTGCAGTTTCTAATTTTAAGCATCATAAGAAGTTAAGATGATCCAACTTCCGAATCATTTTCTCTTTGACTAACCATAGGACCTTTTTTGGCAGGATAATCAGCTGGCCGGCGTCATTGGTGGCAGTGGTGGAATGAGCATAATACCAGCAGTAATCCAGGTTTTCCTAAATCATTTTCTCTTGGGGACGGAACCTTTAGCCGCGGTTCAACATCCAAGGATCTACCACAAGGTATGACTGAGTTTGAATACATGAAGACATAATAGGTGTAATTCGTATCCTGTATATGAAAAAGTATCGGATGAATTTTATCTTGGTTTCCTGCAGCTAATACCAAATGTAGTTTCATATGAAAACTGGACTGTGATTGATGGTGAGCATATCGAGCTTGCCGAGGAGACAAAGACTTTCTTGGCAGAGAAGGGTCATCAGCTGCAGGCTAAGTCGAGTGGGGCTATCGTCCAGTTTGTTGTTCAAACCCTCCAAAACCCCATCGAAATGGGCCGAAAATATGGAAAAGGTTCCAATATATATTATGGGACACTAACTGCCGTTAGTGACCCTAGAAAAGATGGGAAGCCTGCGGCACTTTGATCCGTTTGTTTTCTTTCAGGGGGTTTAGACGTCCTAAGGGAACAGAGCGATCATCGAATTAATCACTTACCAGATAATTATGTAATCATGAGGAACAGGACTGTTCATTCACTGGACTGTTTTCGGATAAGATCAGTCGTGTATAATTTCATTCTTGCGAACCATTTTAACTCAAAATTTGTAAATAAACATTCGCCCAAGGGTAGTCAGTCCTCATTTGGAAACAATGTCTTGTCCCTCGTAGCTTCTTTTCAGGGTGAATAAATACTGTATCTCCCATCAAGACACAAGCTTCCCGTAAGAACTCAAGTCAAGTATCATAACATATTTGAATAACTCGCACAGTTTCAGTTTTTCATAGGAATCTCGGCAGTCTGCCATTTCCTGACTTAACCTTTGGGAAGAGGAACACCAGTGTCGTCTAGAATCCAAAATACCATCTCAAGGCCCCTGATCTGAACGTATGGTCACAAGGTCATCTTAATACAATAAAACTAGAGCATACGTTGTATCCAGTGAGAAAAGACAGATTCAGCCGTTGAATCCATGGTACTAACATGAGCAAGCATTAGGCTGGGTGTAAATTGATTAAAGGTGAGGGAGAAAGCTGGGTGCTAAGAGCTAGGTGTGTAAACTTATTCTTGGCCAGATTCCCTGAAACTACTTTGATAAGTGACCAGTTTTTGTGCCAATTTCAATGGACCATAGAGTGCCAAGCTATAAAGAAAAATCAAATGTCACTAAGCCACTTCTATCATGAATGATGGTTGATAGTATAATACAAGCAACCACTAAATATAATTCAGTATGAAGGAAACTGTTGAAGCTTTGTGCACTATTTAGCTTATTGTACAACAGGCAAAACTTCAAAAGCTTGAAAAGAGAAGAGAAAAGGGGAAGAAAAACAGGGAGAAAGTAATAAACAACTTGCCAGGATTCTCAAAGAAAATCACCATTCCCAATCTAACAAGTTACCCCTTTTTTGCCATCATGATGCTTTGTCCATCAACTGAATTGGAGTCAGAATGTTAGTCTTGCTGGTTTCAACAACGGAGCCATTCATAACCATTTCCTCCAGCATGAAATGCGCTTTCTCTAAATGGAACATGATATCTAGCTCACACTGCAATAAAAAAATATAAACAAGAGATAACAGTAATTAGGTATCTTGAATCCTAATAATACGAATTGTTAAGAGACACAAATACACAAGTCCAGTGACTTTGAAAGGGTTAGAAATTAACCCAATCTTCTTTGGAAAGAACTTACCACATTGCCAAAATGACGGTCCATGGTTTCAACTAAGAGATGTATAAATTCCAAAATTGCAAGCTCATTCTGCCACATCAAATACAAGTGGGCAAGCAATAAGCATACTGGAAACATGTAAGCTTGAATTAAGTCTTGGCTCATATTATAACCCGAGTTGGAGAAAGCTCATCCAAAATTCTTTCACATTTCAGACAATGTCAAGAACATCCTTTTGATGCTTAATCAGGTTTTACCTTGAGTTTGATTTAAGCATGTATTGCCAGAATTTTTATTACCAAAACAATCTTAGAGTTAAGGAGAGAAATGGGAGTTACCTCATCATTGTCAACTCCAACCAAGAAAAACAGTGAAGCGTATCGCCTATATACAATTTTGTAATTTCGATGCTCAACAAATGAACACTGTCATAATTAAACCCAAAAAAAAATTGAAATTAAGTATATGAAAAACCGTACGTCAATAAATGATTTACATAAAACAAAATGATGACTGGAAACGATTCAGATAGGGCACAATTCTCTAGCAGCTAGACATTCTTGAATTGAATTATGGAATTAGAAATTACAAAGTTCAAATCACGAACGGATTAAATTGTTCTGATTCAACATGAAAAGAAGAAAGATCGGAGAAGGTAATAATTGTGGATAATTTAATCAAATTAATATAAGATTTAGATTCAAAAGTTGCATGCAATGTTTTTCTTTTTTCCAGCTGCAATTTATAGAATGAAGGCAGCGGGCATCAGAGGGGAAATACGAAGAACCTGTTGCTCGGTGCGAGCTAAGCATTTGCGGACGATCTCGCCTTCGAGGGCACGGCGTTCCTCGAGGGTGAGCCATTCGTAGTATTGGGCGAGACGAGTCTGCCCTTGCTTATTCACCATCAATATGAATCTAATCCCCATCTCTTTCTTTCTTTCTACCTGGATCTGTATCTCTACACTGGAACAGCAAAATGGATCGCACTCCCCTTTTTTTTTCTTTCTTTCTTTTCTGTTCCTGTACTTAATGGTAAAATTGCAGATTAGGAACAAATAGTTTTACTTTTCGCTTTTTTCTTCAATATTCAATTTTTATAGATTGCTCCACCATTAGTTGGGCCTGGGCCGATAACTCTTGCTCATAAATGGGTTTCAGTCATCTTATTTGCTATAGAAAATAAGAAAAAGCCATCTCATGTAATTTATTTCAAGTTGACTTACGAAGAAGATATTTACAAATTCTCTCATAAAAGTAGACAAGATAGGTGCCCCACCCACTCTAATATGAGGAACTTTTATGATTGTGTTCAACGTTTGCCGAATGATGCTTTGGTGACAATGAAATACATAAAACTTTAATGTGTACAAAGGACGGTCCATGGCTCGTAGGTTGACATGATCGAAATGGTGCGTTTGCTAAAATTTTCAAATTAATGTACTAATATCACTCTAAAGTTTTGTTGGCTTGAATCAAAAGAACAATCATTTACACGAGTAGAGCATGAAATCTATGCATTCAACAATAATTTCCGTTAATAACTCTTCAGATTCCCAATTCTTTCACTCTTTCTTTTGTTATTTTTGAACTAATGAATCGCAACTTTGACATTCGTTTTCCCTAGAATAGAACTAGCATGAACTATTATTCTTATTTTTGTTACGATCTTTTCAAAAGTTCAATTCTTTTGGTCCTGGATCATCCTGATACTCTGGTCCCTGTTCGCCTGCTGTCCCGCTGCCTGCATAATAGCGAGTACCAGGCTTTCACAAGCATTATATAACTCGTTCCCACACCCAAAATAGAATCACAACTGCCTTGAGATAAGCACGCTAGATATTATTACTTCCATTGAACATTGTCATCAGAAATGGACACTATTGCAGCAGATAATGAGGGATAGACCCATATAAGTTTTGCTCTTAAGCTTCAGCAAGTGAAAAAAAAATCAAACCGCTGAAAATTACATATAACAGAATAATTCAGGGCTTATGGAAGAACACTAGGCAGCCGGCTATCTTTAACTCCGGGCTAAAGCAGTAGCGGTGGTATACTACTGACTTCAATTGGTTATCTCCTTGCAAACCAAACTCTCTTCGCTACAATTTCCATTATCCAACAATTGGTTTGATTCTTCTCCGTCAACTTTGTCTTCAATGACATCTTTAGCACTCCAAAAGCTAGGTTGATTTGTTGAAGATAGAAGCCTTGCCCACATCCTATCTGTAATCACAACCTTGTTTTGTTTCTCAATAACTCGCTGCAGAGAATCATCAGAAAATTAACTCCATCTCAAATATAAAAGTTTTCAGTTGTTGCATCTATCAACATTATTGCTAAAGAAAAATATAAAACCTAGTATGACCGTCTCAACAAATCTTTCATTGCCACTCTTGTGATTACCTTTGCCATCAGTTCAACCATGAAGGCATAAGGGGAAAGCTACTTTAAAAAAAAAACAATTTGAAGTTTTCAAATTTCAATCTCATACTTCTTAAATGTGGAAACTGAGACCGAGTTGTCATAGAATACAGTGCAAGTGATGTTTTGAACAACTAACTCTTCATATACTCTGCCAGCAGCCTCAAGAAAAATTACTAGTGAACAGAGATAGACTCATTTACCACCCCCTAGAGGAAAAATAAACAAGGCATGTTCTTTGGGGAAGATTTATTACTAAATGGCATATATCTAACCTCACCCCAGTGAAAAAATAAACATCAAAGCAGGTTCTGTGAGAGACTCGATTATCATAGGGCATCCATGTATTCCAGAAGAGTTGAGGTAAGTGCTTATGGGAATAATAGATATAAGAAAAGAACAATAGAAGCTTGAGGAATGCTACAAAGGATGTGAACATCAGAAAACACACAAACAATTAACTGACCGTCAACAGAAGTTATACATGCAAAGAAACAGGAAGTGTCAACATCACAGACGGGACACTAAAATCACACAATCTTTAAATACTTCGAATTCATAAAGCATGCAAAAAAAACAATGATTTTCTAAAAGAAATTTCCAAACTAAAACTCTTTAAGTCATTTCAGGATGAACTCACATTGAAGGGAATGTATGTCTGCCTGCCATTAACAAGACCACTTGTAAAGCCAGTGTACCCTGCCATCGCTCCATGCACAGCACTTTGGGCAAGAAGTGTGCAGTAAACATTGTCAGATGCATTGCTTGGAATAGCACGAATCATATAAGTAGGATCTGCCAGTGGACAAAGTACAATTCTCAATAACTTCTGCCAACAGCTAACTACTTTACTCGAAAACACCCATGATCGTTTTCTTTGGTGAAAAAAAGTTCTCAAAAAACATCTTATATATTTATTCTACAAACCTATATATTTGAGGTTTATGGGCATCTTCCTTTGTTTTAAAAAGTAGTCCTGAAAATGACAGGAAAAAAACAACGAATGTCACATCAAAAAATTCCATCTTATATGTCATGACACATGTCTGCTCAGATGGGAGTTTTGCTCAAATGCACACCCTGGAGCTTTTTACCATATTGCTATCTCAAAAGCTTGTAAATTGTACCTAGGTTGAACCCATATGGCATACCTTGATCCTCTGTGATATCCATAGCCCAACATCCAGGAGAAGCTTGTTCCCTGAAGCATCTTTCTGAGTCATTGATTGCATACTCTCAGAAAGTAGCTCCTGTCCTGCACCCTCGGCTATCACAATAACCATATGCCCATTTTCTTTAAGTCGTCTTTCAATGTATTCAAAAAGTCCACCAGGTCCTTCAAGATAAAAGGGTGACTCTGGAATCAAGCAACAATCCACATCTCGACTTGCAAGAGTAGCATACATTGCAATAAAACCTGCCCATCAGTCAGGTTTAGATGCATCAATAAAAAAAAAAAAACATTCTGACAAAGTTTCAGGAAACAGAGAAGCATAATTAAGGGGAATGTAAACTCATCTGCAGAACAAAAAAATTAAATGAATAATACTCAATCACCATATTGATGAGAGAAAGGAACAAACCATAGAAATTTTAAATGACACAATTTAAAATAGAAAAGATTTAAATTAAAACCAATAACTTAAAAAATTTGTAATTCTCTCACTTCTTGCAATGCAGGATTAACACTTCAAACTGAAAGAGAAACTTACCACTGTAGCGACCCATCAACTTCACAAGACCAATACCATTCTCAATACTTTCAGATTCAACATGAGCAGCATTAATGGCACGTTGAGCCTCCTCGACAGCAGTGTCAAAGCCAAAGGACTTGTCAATAACCTGTCATGTGCAACAGCACCGTCAAAGCTTTGAGACTGTGTAGTAACCAAATAAAATAGGTTGCAATTCCTAAAAGACTTGGTACAACATTCTATCCAAGCCAAGAGGAGTACCGGAATGTCATTGTCAATGGTTTTGGGGATTCCAGCAACTGAAACTTTGAGACCACGCCTTCTAATTTCCTGTAAAGTGTGGGATAAAATTCCTTTAATATGCACAAATTCGCAAAGCAAATCAATGTGTGTATATTCTATTAAAGAAATCACCTCAAATATCACAGATGCACCTCTCTGAGTTCCATCTCCTCCAATAATGTACACCTGAATTATGACAAATGATCATAAGTCAGTTAGATTGGTATGTCTTGATCATAACAACTACTTGTACTTCCACTTGAGCAAAAATTATAAAAAATAGTATTTTTAACAGACCTGATTAATTCCGCGATCCTGAATGCTGTCAACAATTTTTGAGGTATCATGCCCACCTCGTGATGTCCCAAGGATTGTTCCACCACGTTTATGGATATCATTGACAACCTTGGGATTTAATTGTATGGTATTTTTAGCATAAAATCCCCTGTATCCTCCCTAAAAATACATCAAACTAGTTAGTTGCCAATGCACCAACTTATTAAAGGATGGATATATATTTTGCAGTGTCTTCTGATCAAGCAAAAGGAACCTATACCAGCAAGAAGGTGGTAGGTTGACACATTTAATAATGCAAGTCCATGTAGGATATGAGTTTATGCTTTTATTTAGTCATCTAGATGTGGTGCTCTTATTAGCAACTCAAGAGACAGGGACTATTAATGGTTTGAGAAACTTCTCACTTATTTATTCACCTTTTGGAGGGGAAATGAAAAGGAGTAATAGGAAAGAGAACTCCACAAAAAAGAACGAAAAAGGTCAAATGATCACTTACATCTATCCCCAAAACTTTCTTCACGCCATACATATGGTGTAAACCGCATACTATCTCTCTAATCACAGTATTGAGTCCAGGGCATAGACCACCACACGTCACAATACAGGCATGAACTTCATCCGAGTCAAAATACACCTAAGAAACCATCAAACACCCAACACAATACTGTAAAACACAACTCAGAATTTTATCATTCGAAATCTCATTCATAGGTTACATAACATTAACTCGTACCTTTTGACGTGGTCCAGCTCGTCGGAAATGTACTCCTCTTGGACTGTCCTTGTGAACAACAATCTATAAACAATAAAAGAGAAACATTAAAATAGAAACAAATAAAGTTTTAAAGAAAATATAAGGAAAACTAACCTTTTGAGGAACGGAATCATCTACATGGACAAAGTATTGCCTGGTGAAACAGAGCAATCGATCCAGCAACATTAGCACAATTAAAAGATACTAATATTAAATAAAATTTGAAAAAGAAGATGTCAAATTGGGCTTACTTAACAACTGAGTATGCCGGATTGTCTTGCAACGGATTGGGATAAGTCTGTCATCGGAAAAAGGAAAGACAAAATCAGATTTAATAACAGAAATCAAATCTTAAAAATTAACTGATTCGTTCTCAATTAATTTTAAAAATCAGAAACATCATTAAAGAAAAAAACTGAGAAGATGAATATAAAATAAATATAATATTCATAAAAAAACATTTTTAATCTAATTTTGTAATTGGTTGCCGACAAAGTCACAGCGAAAATCAAGCTTTTGAAAAGACAGCTGCCTTCTGTTTTTTTCTCCATTCCTTATTATCGGCAACGGAAAAACGATAACAAATTCAACGAAAATAATAAGTACGTATAATGATACGTAGAAAAGGGGAGCAAAGAAGGAAAAAGCTTACAGGAAGATCGGCAATGTAATCTGACAAGTGAGGAACATCTTCAAGGACATAACCACCAGGACCGGTCACGACCTTAGGCTTTGAATTCTCAGGCGAAGCAGAAGAAGCCATCACGCCACGCGTCGAATCGTGGATCTTCGAACAGCCGGAACTCCTCCTCAAACGACAACCGCAACCGTAACGGTATCCGTAGCCAAAACTGACCGTACTAAACTTTCTCAAATTACAGATTCCAGAACTCGATGGCACCGAGAAGCGCGATTTATTCTTACTATTATTAATATTACTTTTGTAAAAATTCTTATTATGATGATGATGATGATTATTATTATTGTTCAATGGAGAAGAGAAAGACGACGTGGAAGAAGGGGCGAGGACGGAATCCATTCAACGGGACATCGAGACGGGTTTTTCGAACAAAAAGAGAAAAAAACGAAATCCATATTTATAGGAGATACTGTTGACTAAAAATGAACCTCAGATGACTTTTCTTTAAAAAAAAAGTTTGGTTTCTGGTTGTTTTGAGGTGGAAATGGCTTTAAATAACAGAGGGAAGAGTTGGCAAAACCTGGTTCCGCCTGTGATTATTGTGTGGTTTTTGACGCAGAGATAAAGACCTTATGCCTTAGGCTTTTTGGCTTCGCTGCCCACCTTGTATTGTTATTCATTACTCTGTTTTGGGAGAAGAAAGTTCGCAGGAAAGAGAAAGGTTTGGCTTTATGGAAATTTTAATTGGGTTCGGCCTTTTCGGGAAATAAGTAATACAACCGAAGTGCTTTCTGTTTGGTTAGTGAAAAGTGAAAAGGAAAAAGAAATCGGATTCGGATCGGGTCTGACTGTTTTTTTAGGCTTAAGGGGTTGTCCAAAACCAGGTTAATGGCGCACATTGGATATCGTTCTGTAGCTATTAGATTCTAGACAAGGCATCGCCAAACACATGCTTTTCGGTCTGGTTATGCATGAACCTAGCTTTCTTTAATTGATTAATAATACTATTTTTAGAAAAATGTAATTTAATTATTACAATAAAAATCTGTACGACACTCAAGGAGGGATCAGTTATGCCCTTTTAATGATTTGGTTCTTTTTTCAAACGATAATTTTAACAAATAATGTCAAAGCTGATAGTCATTTTTTTGTTTTTTGAAATAAGACAAATCCTATTGAGGGATGCATGGGAAATGTGTAAATGGGCTTGTTCTACGTGGTCCAAATGCTCAGTTGTTGCATCCTGCGGGGAAAAATCAAAATTACTATGCTGTTTGAAATGGCAACGTTTGTCGACCACAGTTAGGGGTTGCCTAATTGCTGGTTTTATGCATGTTCGGTGGTCGGCTCGTTAGACTTTGGTTCCTGCTTTTATTGCCCTCTTTCTTAGTAGGAAGATTCTTTCACATGGATTACCAATTTAACAATCATTAGTAGAGAAATTAATGTGGTGTGATTTTCTGTTGCGCCAAGGAACAGAACTTGGAGAAGAAGTATAGGAAGCTTATTTCAGTAGATTTCCAACATTACTCCTTCAATGATTCATTTCCATTTCTTTTTCTTAATTTATTTTCTCTCAAATATTTTTAGGCCGCTAATTAATGACTATTCTCATCTCTCAGTCAATGTATAACTTTTTCTTTTCTTCATTCAAATAAAAGTAAAATAGAATGATCGGTTTGACAGGAGTTATTGACTACAGACAAAGTGCAAATCCCCGGGAGTTTATGTTTTCACAGTGTTTATTTATTTACATTTATTTTGCGTATTTAGTTCGTTAATTTGTGTGGCTATGTAAATAATTTATGAGTTAAAAAAAAAAGGAAAGAACAGAAAAAAAAAGTTTAGATTAGGATGAAAAGAGGGGAAAAATTCATTTTCCAAATTAAATTGATGAAATATGAGATATCATATAGTTTATTCATCAAGATTGGAATATTAAAAGGGAAAACTCGACCATCCTTCGTGATCAGATTAATTTTCTAGAGAGTTGACACATGCAGACAGTCATTTTCCATGGTCGTATGCCGGCACGCCTTTGCCCGTTTCAGACAAAAATGGGCCACAGTCCCACAAGGGTAACGTGACGTGTCAAAGTGAAATAAAAATAATTAAAAAAAAAAAACTAAAGCCACAAGTCACAGGACACGGGCTTCATGGAAGGTGTGGTGGTCAACAGCAGCAGCAAGAGATTAGGATTCGGATCCATCTAGAATTAGCGGTTACAACGCTGTATGTTACAGGAGAGCTTTATTTTTCTGGCCTTTCCCTGACTTCCTCTTGTCAAATGCCAACCGTTTCGATCCAGAGTTTTATTTGAAGCACGTGAGCCTTTTCCCTTTTTGATTGCTCAATGATGCCACGTATCACACCTTCAACGATTTTCCAGAACTTTCTATAAAAACCCAGAAAATTTGAAGTTAAATTTTTGTTCATGCGTTTTGGTTTTCTCTTTCAACGTTATTATTGGTTTAAGCTTGTTTGTCTCACACTATTATTTTTGTTCTTCCTAAAACATGATCACATGGGGTTGGGTTTGGGTCGTTATTGCAGATATGTACATTTCATGTTCCTTTTACTAGATCACAACAGGGAACTAAATGTTGCTTCACCCTTTGTAATAAAGGTAAGTAAGTCTTCCATCAAGTTTCGATATCAGCTGTTGAGCAGTGAATCCATCGTAGCGATCTTCATGTGCTGCGGTGCAGATTTCGATCATCTTTCTGGACATGTGATCTTCTTGGTAAAATGGCTGCTCAATGAATTCTCCAAGGGGCATCCACTGAGCATATAAATTAGATAACAGAACTCATTTAATCGGTCATCCAACGTTAACTAAGTTAGAGAGGAATGGCAGATGCTGTTGATGGCTATATTAGTGAAGCGAAACCTCGATTACCATAGCGTCTTGAATTTCCTTCTCATCGACTATGATTTCTGAAGAAAAGGGCTTTAGCATGCAGACGAAGAGCAAATCCGACTTCTCAAAAGCCACCCGATGGGCATGTCTATCAGATTTCACACAAAGTGATAAACCTTCTATAAGTGTACTGGTAGTCATATAATTATCAAAATTGTTACTATTTTCTTTTCCTTGAGTAAAAAAGAAGACCAACATTTGTTGAGTGGAAATAATCCAGAAGCAGTACTTTTACCTGAAAGCAACCATTTCCAGGAAAATTGTATCCACCTGCAAGAAGAGAAAATGATGATCGTCTGTAGAGCATGTGTACTAGTAAAGGGTAAGTTATAGACCACTCACACCAGTTTCTTCTTTCACTTCTCTTACAGCTCCAGAAAATATATCTTCATACTGGAGAGAAACCAAAAAGAACCACATCTTGTTATTTTCCTTCAGAAAACATTATTTCCCCCAAGCTCTACTAATAAACATAATTGACTATAATTACCTTACTGATATAGCCAGTAGGCAATTTCCATACCCCAGAGCAACTGCAAGGGCATTTCTCTTTCACCACGAGGACCTGTATGTTGTAAATTTGGCGATTTGTAGTGGGAGAACTGAAAAAAAAAACAAAAAGGAAAGGACAAGAAATCTGCTAGTAATTTTATTAATGACCTCTTTTTTGTCAGTGATGACAAATCCTGCTATGCCAATTTGATGAGAAGGGCTGCCAGGGAGCAGGCAAGGTTCAGCTGGAATCCAGTAAGTCAGCATAACATAACCTGGTTCTGCGTGGTGGTAGTCAAAACCCTCCTGGAAATCCGTGAACCCAGAAAACCTCAGTTGTTTTTGTTTTGTACAAATCTAAGGCACCGATGGATCAGATAGTTTTCTTTTGTAGATGCTGAGATTAATTATTGATCGTTAGTCCATCACCTGAATTGCAATTGGAACAAGGTCAGCTTGCTCTGACAATATCTTGAGCCATATACCCCTTTTCCCCTGCATTTTTCATTATACTTCCAAGTTATTATCTACTTTTATAATTTTAAAATAACTTCATAAAATTAACTGACACTATATGAAGGTTTGCACATGCTTGTGAGAAGATTCACTAGGGGGACAACTTGGCTATTGAAAGAATCAGATATAAGCAAAACTCCAAAGAAAGCAGATATTCCCTTCCTTGAAATTTTTAAGAGGGAAACATGCTAGGGTAAAAAAATAAGGTCCCTTTGTGCAAACTAATGTTTTAATCACTGTAAAAATTAAGTTGAGTGGCTTTAGTTGCTTAAGTATGTGTTTAATTATCTTCCAAAAACAGTTAGGTGAATCTGAGACTGTATGGCTAGAAATTTATGGTGTATGATGTTTCACGTATGTGCAAACATCTTTGACCGTCATGGTTAATGAATGCTCTGTCCCTGCAAAGGCATCAAACCTTCAGCTTCCAGTTGGTTAGAGAAGCACGAAGGGCAGATGCAAAAGCATTTGCACTTGAGGGTAAGCATTCTGTGTCGATGATGACCCCATTATACTCATCATCCCATGCATCAAGAAACTCCACTGCCAAGCCTGGTGATGCTAGATCAGGAGACATCATGCCGCCATTAATAGATGGCACATGACAGGAACGAAATTTGGCACTTGGGGACATTGAGAGTGACGACTTCCTCAAAAAACCTGAAAGATTCAATAGAACAAATAAATCATTGGTATAATGCGTATATGATGATCATGCGATTCAAAGTAGTAGTTTCCTACCGCTCGACGGCCCTGGCAAGATGCAATTCTGTGTCCATGAAGTTCTAGGCACTCTTAGAAATTGCTGGCAATAAAATCCTGAAGACTGCTGGAGACCCACCTCTGCTGCCATCATTTCCATCATTCAAGCGAACTGTAGAAAGAACTTCAACTTCAATAGTATATATAGCCATTAAAATGCCCAAATGTATGGGTCTGCCAAATAAGAAGAATTGAGAAGGAATAAATATCACAGAGAATAGAATCATCTTGGTGTTGGACAAGTAGAAGGAAGAAGATGGCAGCCGAAAGCTTTAGATACTATGATTGCATTAAATAATCTGAGCCTGCTATATATTTAAAAAAAAAACAAAATTCACATCATCCAAAATACTGTAGAATAAGTAATCTATCCTTTGTTTTTAAAAATAAAACACTTGCCAATGGCATGGACAGGAGCAACCAGTGCAACTTCCACTGTAGAAAGGATGAGAATATTCTATCCAATATTAGAATATCATGGACTTGTTCTGCCTTGTATTTTTTGAGATAATCCCTTGGTAACTTGTGGCTCTGTGAAGGAATATTAACATTTTTGAGAATTCAATATTCCGTTTTCGATATGGACACCTCTTATGTGGTCGTGTTGATTAGATATCAGAGCTTTGATGTAGTTGCACTTGCATCATGCATGGGATTGTCTTTCTCTGTTTTGATTCCCTTTCATTTTCTTTCATGATGTGTATAGAGC